CACAATAACGCGTAACCGGGTTTTAGACGTAGGGCAGATGCTGATCTTAATTGCAGCTATCAACCACGAAAGCTATATGCTGTGGGAACCCTCACGATCGCCGGATAGGCAGATGCCGCCCACACGAATTGTGTAGAAGAGCCTAAACGTGCTACTGTTTGATGATATCAGTGATTCTAAATTGCAGTCTGATTGAGAAGACTGACCAGCTCCGCTGGATTTGCAACTACATCACCTGTCACAATCACTTTAACCAATTAATAATTTTGAGTGACTTGTAACATTAGGTGCAAGTGTTTGGCTTCGCAACCTTCTAAAATTCTAAATTAATTTTGCAGGTTAGATGTATTGGTCACGAAACTCGTTCTTGGGGTTATACGTGCGAAAAGACGCCCTAGTGGCGGAATCACTCTTGCAACGTAAAAGGTGCGATTATACGCATAACGATATCATCTGTTTCGGTCTCAGGGCTAGATAGCCCATACCTCATCAGGTGCACACTTTAGTGCACTAAAGTGTGCACCTGATGAGGTATGGGCTATCTAGCCCTGAGACCGAAACAGATGATATCGTTATGCGTATAATCGCACCTTTTACGTTGCAAGAGTGATTCCGCCACTAGGGCGTCTTTTCGCACGTATAACCCCAAGAACGAGTTTCGTGACCAATACATCTAACCTGCAAAATTAATTTAGAATTTTAGAAGGTTGCGAAGCCAAACACTTGCACCTAATGTTACAAGTCACTCAAAATTATTAATTGGTTAAAGTGATTGTGACAGGTGATGTAGTTGCAAATCCAGCGGAGCTGGTCAGTCTTCTCAATCAGACTGCAATTTAGAATCACTGATATCATCAAACAGTAGCACGTTTAGGCTCTTCTACACAATTCGTGTGGGCGGCATCTGCCTATCCGGCGATCGTGAGGGTTCCCACAGCATATAGCTTTCGTGGTTGATAGCTGCAATTAAGATCAGCATCTGCCCTACGTCTAAAACCCGGTTACGCGTTATTGTGAGGGGATAAGACAAGCGCTTCATTACAGGTTAATCTTTTTGAAGGTAAATGGGACGAATCCCTTGCCAATTTTCAATTACATTCGTTTGAATGTTCTTTCAAATTACAAAACCAAAATCTCAACCTCTCCGAGCATTGAGATTGTCACACGTACCGTCTCGGGTGTGTACGATCCATGTTCGTGTGTGGTTTGTAGATTCGAAATTTGATTGAGCCTGCGCTATGTCCAATACGACTAATCCATCTTTCAGGATTAGAAGTGTGCTCTGTTGTTTCGACTTTATTTTAGTCTCTTCAGTCATGGATAGGTCCGAAGACCACCATGAGACAACAGTAAATGTGATTTGCGTGGAACGTGTTCATTACGAGATTCCAGCATTCACTGGGCGGTACGAGCGTTCGACTCGCTTTTACAAACTCTGTGTGACAGTGGAAGAATTTAGCAATCCACAATGTCAAGAGTGCCCTACTTTTCAAGATTTCACAGAGACTATGTATATTATTAATTATACCTCAATTAAGTTTAAAATGACTTTGATTAGTCATATCGAAATTCAGAAATGTCTACTAGAGACAGCTGAAATTGGGTTCCAGATTCCAGGAACCAATCAGCATGCGATGACAGATTTCAGTCATCCAAAGGCACTGGACGTGAAAACAAATAAACATCAAAATTGATGAGTCCGTCCACAATAATTTAAGAACAATGAGTAAATACTCAGGTGTGCCTGGTCAACTCTAAGTTGACAATTTCATCTTTTCAAAATTTAGAAACATCAAAATTCAAAATTTCAGTTGGACGATGAAAAATTTAATCCGTCCTTAACACATTATAATTCAATCTGTCGTGCACTAAAGTGTGCACCTGATGAGGTATGGGCTATCTAGCCCTGAGACCGAAACAGATGATATCGTTATGCGTATAATCGCACCTTTTACGTTGCAAGAGTGATTCCGCCACTAGGGCGTCTTTTCGCACGTATAACCCCAAGAACGAGTTTCGTGACCAATACATCTAACCTGCAAAATTAATTTAGAATTTTAGAAGGTTGCGAAGCCAAACACTTGCACCTAATGTTACAAGTCACTCAAAATTATTAATTGGTTAAAGTGATTGTGACAGGTGATGTAGTTGCAAATCCAGCGGAGCTGGTCAGTCTTCTCAATCAGACTGCAATTTAGAATCACTGATATCATCAAACAGTAGCACGTTTAGGCTCTTCTACACAATTCGTGTGGGCGGCATCTGCCTATCCGGCGATCGTGAGGGTTCCCACAGCATATAGCTTTCGTGGTTGATAGCTGCAATTAAGATCAGCATCTGCCCTACGTCTAAAACCCGGTTACGCGTTATTGTGAGGGGATAAGACAAGCGCTTCATTACAGGTTAATCTTTTTGAAGGTAAATGGGACGAATCCCTTGCCAATTTTCAATTACATTCGTTTGAATGTTCTTTCAAATTACAAAACCAAAATCTCAACCTCTCCGAGCATTGAGATTGTCACACGTACCGTCTCGGGTGTGTACGATCCATGTTCGTGTGTGGTTTGTAGATTCGAAATTTGATTGAGCCTGCGCTATGTCCAATACGACTAATCCATCTTTCAGGATTAGAAGTGTGCTCTGTTGTTTCGACTTTATTTTAGTCTCTTCAGTCATGGATAGGTCCGAAGACCACCATGAGACAACAGTAAATGTGATTTGCGTGGAACGTGTTCATTACGAGATTCCAGCATTCACTGGGCGGTACGAGCGTTCGACTCGCTTTTACAAACTCTGTGTGACAGTGGAAGAATTTAGCAATCCACAATGTCAAGAGTGCCCTACTTTTCAAGATTTCACAGAGACTATGTATATTATTAATTATACCTCAATTAAGTTTAAAATGACTTTGATTAGTCATATCGAAATTCAGAAATGTCTACTAGAGACAGCTGAAATTGGGTTCCAGATTCCAGGAACCAATCAGCATGCGATGACAGATTTCAGTCATCCAAAGGCACTGGACGTGAAAACAAATAAACATCAAAATTGATGAGTCCGTCCACAATAATTTAAGAACAATGAGTAAATACTCAGGTGTGCCTGGTCAACTCTAAGTTGACAATTTCATCTTTTCAAAATTTAGAAACATCAAAATTCAAAATTTCAGTTGGACGATGAAAAATTTAATCCGTCCTTAACACATTATAATTCAATCTGTCGTGCACTAAAGTGTGCACCTGATGAGGTATGGGCTATCTAGCCCTGAGACCGAAACAGATGATATCGTTATGCGTATAATCGCACCTTTTACGTTGCAAGAGTGATTCCGCCACTAGGGCGTCTTTTCGCACGTATAACCCCAAGAACGAGTTTCGTGACCAATACATCTAACCTGCAAAATTAATTTAGAATTTTAGAAGGTTGCGAAGCCAAACACTTGCACCTAATGTTACAAGTCACTCAAAATTATTAATTGGTTAAAGTGATTGTGACAGGTGATGTAGTTGCAAATCCAGCGGAGCTGGTCAGTCTTCTCAATCAGACTGCAATTTAGAATCACTGATATCATCAAACAGTAGCACGTTTAGGCTCTTCTACACAATTCGTGTGGGCGGCATCTGCCTATCCGGCGATCGTGAGGGTTCCCACAGCATATAGCTTTCGTGGTTGATAGCTGCAATTAAGATCAGCATCTGCCCTACGTCTAAAACCCGGTTACGCGTTATTGTGAGGGGATAAGACAAGCGCTTCATTACAGGTTAATCTTTTTGAAGGTAAATGGGACGAATCCCTTGCCAATTTTCAATTACATTCGTTTGAATGTTCTTTCAAATTACAAAACCAAAATCTCAACCTCTCCGAGCATTGAGATTGTCACACGTACCGTCTCGGGTGTGTACGATCCATGTTCGTGTGTGGTTTGTAGATTCGAAATTTGATTGAGCCTGCGCTATGTCCAATACGACTAATCCATCTTTCAGGATTAGAAGTGTGCTCTGTTGTTTCGACTTTATTTTAGTCTCTTCAGTCATGGATAGGTCCGAAGACCACCATGAGACAACAGTAAATGTGATTTGCGTGGAACGTGTTCATTACGAGATTCCAGCATTCACTGGGCGGTACGAGCGTTCGACTCGCTTTTACAAACTCTGTGTGACAGTGGAAGAATTTAGCAATCCACAATGTCAAGAGTGCCCTACTTTTCAAGATTTCACAGAGACTATGTATATTATTAATTATACCTCAATTAAGTTTAAAATGACTTTGATTAGTCATATCGAAATTCAGAAATGTCTACTAGAGACAGCTGAAATTGGGTTCCAGATTCCAGGAACCAATCAGCATGCGATGACAGATTTCAGTCATCCAAAGGCACTGGACGTGAAAACAAATAAACATCAAAATTGATGAGTCCGTCCACAATAATTTAAGAACAATGAGAATTCAATGTTATTTAAGCACTCCATGTCAGAAATGGTTTATTACATCACTTAAAATGATTTGCAGTAGTACTTACTATGGTCAGAAATCAGAATCATTAGTTTCCATAACTCCTTTAAACCCAAGTTTTATAAACATACATTTTATACATTTATGTAAGATTTGTTGATTAATGAAGAAAAAATAATCATACTAACTTAACCTAACCCAACCAAACTTGTATCTAAAAAAGGAGTTCGGGGGAGGTAATAAATTCTGACGGTAACTATTTTATTTTGCAAGATTCGTACACCTGAACTGACTCAAACTTCAACAATAAACAACCAACATAAACTTTCTGTTATCGTGACAATTAGTTTTCTCTGTGAACAGAAGAATTCTGATCAGAAAATTAAGATCTACACATTAAATTTAAAACCTTTATTCTAAAAATTGTTTTTCAAACATTGTCAGGATTTGTAAAATTTAAAAAACTCGAAAAAGTTAAAAAAGTCATCTTAACCTTCCAGAATTCAAATTAATTATCTCTATTCAATTACTTATCTATATTCACTTACCGCAGTGACAGTCTGGGGACTGTTGCGAGACGCTGCTATCAGTGTGTGTTCATTGTCCACACTCTGCTGTATCAAGTAGGTTGTGTTGCCGAGCAGCTGGTTACCTGCGCCTTGGTTCAGGCTGTTGGCTACCTGCAACCACACAGACTGTCTTGTACTTACTTTATCTTTGGGAACGCCTTTGGTTTGCATTCCATTGAAAAATCAGTACATTTTGGATTGATTAGGTGTTTTTGTTACGCAAAAACTTGTACTTGGATGTTTAAGCTGGGTATTCCTAGGCGCGGAAGTGGAACGCGAAGAGCGGAGTCCGCTCTCCTCTTGTCTTATGTAATTTAATGATACTGTTTTCCTAGATGTGAAGCGGTTTACATCATGTATATCACTTTTCCTCACTCCTCTCTGCTCCGCTCTCCACGTTCTGGGCTCCACTTCCGCACCTAGGAACACCCAGCTTTAGCAACTCACCAGTTTGTATGAAAATTCACCTAACTTCCATACAATGCTAGAAAGATAAACCTTTCTAATAGGTTGCACACGGGGGGATTGTGGCCCGATAAACATGAGCTACACCACAATGGTCCACAGGCTTTTTGCACAAACCACTTGCTTCCGAATCTATTGAACCTACTAAAAGACGTTTAGAAACAAAGCTGAGGACCTTAGCTTGAAGATTCTCGCACATATTCCTTAGGTTCAAAAAACAAATCACAGATGTATCTTTGAAAATGAATGATGGGGTAGCCTCTGAATTTAAAATATTAAAAATTAAGGTTCATACAGTGTAGACATTATATACTCAATATAAGTGTGCTGTTTTATACTCAATATAAGTACACCATCTAGTCCAAAAATCCCAAAACTGAGTTTCCTTAACCCTAGAATGACAACTTCAACAACGAAGATGGACGTTTTATAACCTGGCAATATACCGAGTACAAAACAGCTGCAGTCCCACTAACCACACAGGATCGTTAGAAAGTAGCACATGTAATCTATACATTAAATTTGCTAGAAGATGAAGTAAACCAGTAGTCCAACAGGTATTGAGCTTGCTGGAGTCAAGCACTACAGAGAGGATATTTAGTTGATATTTGATATTACAAATCTACTATCAGTTTCTCTCTGTTGTAGTGTTACCTGTGTGTAAGTGACAGGGGTAGAGTTGCCAGGCGTGTAGTACTGCCCTGACGCAGGTGTGTACATTGTGCCGCTCTCCCCTCCCACCGTGTACACCGGGTAAGCCCTGCGAGACATACAAAACTACAATACAATCTGCACAACATCAAATATAACCTTTACCAACCATTATGAATAAATATTTTTTTAAGAGGTTGACCTGTCCTCATGGGCATCAGGCATGTGCTTGCTTATGAAGCAAAGCAAGGGGTAAACTGGTACAGTACAAGACTCAACTGTAGTAGTAAATAGTAGTGAGACGCAAACTCTCGACACCGCTGGCTTGGTTTCACAGTTTGTTCTGTTACTGAATGAGGAATCAAATTGCCAACTATTATTCCCAACCTTTATGTCATGAGTAGATTAGGTACTGTTTGGATTTTGCTTATTGGAATTATTCAGTTTCAAGATTTAAATTCCTAAATTTTACCATTCCTGGGGCTTACAGATGCAGATTCAAATTAACATTTGTAACCACTAATATAACTTCTTGATCAGCATTGTACGTGTTATTAAATTTACGGAAAGTAAATAAAGATACGTCTTATAACACTTAAAACATATATTTACGCTTATACTGATACTCACAAGACGGTCAGGGTGACTACTACATTCTGGATAAAAAATTCATGGACAATTCCCGTACATTTAAGGACACTTTGCCGTAACCTTTGTCGGTGTCATTAGGCCTACCGAATAATTTTCCTGATTTGTCAAACTGTATTAATCTTGTTATTCACTGTAGTTGTACGAGAGAGAAAAGTAAATAATGATAGATAAGAGTTAAAAATTACAAAATAGAAATTTATTGAAAGTAAACAAACATAGGCCTACCTATACTTTAGGTAGGCCTAAAGCTTTTATAGTGTAACAGAGAAACGCAATCATTGTCTCCTGCGATAGCGACAAATATCTCCATCCGTCACGTAAACTTCATAACATAGCTTATCCGATCCAGGCGGATTAATTTGGCATGATCCGCCCTGGCACAACGTTAGGTTCTCGACTACTTTTGAAAAAAAAAATCTTTAATACATATTGTTACTCAATTCTTAGTACAAAATCAAGGTATGGTAAGCGGCTATTAATAAGCAATAAGCACAGAGTAAGGTTATTGTATTTTCATTTGTAAAGTTAATATCGACACATAGCAATCATTAGTTGTTTATCTTGGGCTCAATTACATTTTCTTAATATATTTTACAGCTCTTTCAAGAATCAAAATACCCAGGCCTAAGCCTAATTATTTAGGAGGGCCTATATAAACTGAGTAACAAACAATGAGGTTATAATAGCAGCAAAGTTACTATCATCATTCTAGTTCATAAGATTTTGATTGCTTAAAGCATACAACTCAATAAATAAATACGAGAGGTCGTCCAGTGGTCGAAACTCGACCAAAAATATGTAATGTACTCACTTATCTATTTTCACCCCACACTGTAAATAAAACATGTGATTGGAGTTTCCTCCATTTGTTTTGATTTTCTGTTTATATTTCGTTGTTATTTCGTAACCAGCATAGCAACGCATAAGATCCATGTTAATTTTTTCAAATTTTTAAACTCATTTTGTGTGCTTATCTTTGAGCCTATTTAAATTTATAAAGGGATTCTGCACACCTACAGGAAAATAGCTTTCCAACGGTATGCGTAGATTTTCCCTACGATTCACACGAGCTGAGAAAAAAGGTTTTAAAGAAACATGCTTGCCTATTAATATATAGATAGATATGGGAAACAAAAAACATTGAAACCTGAATAGCCAACAATATAAGACAAAGAGATACAGAAAATGCAATGACATAATTTGAAACCAAGCAGGCCTTAAAAAAGGGGTTAACTTACAAAATAAGACTGTAGATTATTTACATGTTTAATATGAAACCATAAACAGTTTTATGGCACTAGGCACTGGCCGCGGCAAATTGAATCTTCAAGCCAAAAGTACAAGTAAGAAGTGAAATTTAACAGCCATTATAAAGCTATTATTTTCATGATAAAATAGGTTTGGGATCTAATAATAATACCCTAGTAATAAAAAAAGAAGTTGTAAATGAATAAAAGTGATATAACTTTTATGAGCTAGCTGCTGAGTCAACAGTTCTTAGAAGTACTTGACTTGACCCTTGATTGTCGTGATAAAATATTAATGGGTTTGAGATTGTTAATGGGATTTTTATTGCATAATTACTCTAGTAATAAATTATGAAAATGTAAACAAACATCTGATAAACCTTTTATGTGCTCCTAACCAACTAGCGATCAATAAAATTATGGCCCATTAAAAATTTAAGGACATTGTCTGGCATTTAAGGACAATTCCCGTACATTTCATGGCCAATAAAAATTTAAGTACAATTCCCGGTTTTTTTGGATTTCCCGGTTGGTAGACACCCTGACGGTAAATATACAATAGATGGTAAGTGGTGATCGATTTCGATTGAACACTCCAATCAAAATCGATCACCACTTACCATCTATTGTATATTTACCGTCTTGTGAGTAACAGTATAAGCGTAAATATATGTTTTAAGTGTTATAAGACGTATATTTATTTACTTTCCGTACCACTAATATCACCATTAACTTTGGGCTACTGAAGTAGCCTTCCCTCTATATGGACCAACAACATTGTAGACAAATTAGCATGTTTAAAGTGTGCTACAGTCTAAAACATATTTTCTCTAATAGTTGTTGTTGGGTAGGTTAATGATGCAGCCAACAATAAATTGCCCTTTCAGTTTGGCTTATTTAACATGTTGAGTGCGGCCGTTCCCGATCGGGAACGCTCGGCATTGTCTTTTGTATATTTTAGTTTTTGCTCAAGCGTCAGTCGAAGGTGGACCTATCCCATGTTAGCGTGTAGTGTGTGACTTGCATTTTTTTGTGGTGTAGGTTGGTAGTAAATTTCACGTAAATCCCCGTCTGGCAAGCTTAAAAATCAACTTGTTGTCTTTCTCCCACCAATTTGCAATACAATCACAATAGGACCGGCTATGTTCCAAGCATGCTATCTGTGGGTGTTTTTGCGAACTACGTCGACTCTCGTTGTAAAGTAGGACATCCCCGAACGTTATTTGCTATTCGTCAGACCGAAATTTGAAAGCCAATCACACACTGCAATCGGGTTTGTTCGACGCTGCAGGCTGCGCCACACTGGGGATACGCCTGCCATTTGATGTGCCTCAGCGAACGTGTTAACAAGTTTACATATTCGACCGATGTACCAGTAATTTAGATCAGCACACTCTGTCGGTGGCTAAATTCAACAATGTACATTTTCATTCTAAAGCTGACGGCTACGACTTTAACTTGAGAAAGGAATGTCTGGTACTCACATCTGTCCGTTGGTGGTGGTGTAGATAGCCTGGTCTGGTGTACTCTCCACATACTGAACATATGTGGAGTGACCCACTCCGTCACTGCCCACCGTCTCCGTGTCTGGAACTGTATAATACAGCAACATTACACATTTACATGTCTACGTCTACATATAGTACATACATGTTTGGTGTCTATGTATATGTACGATTGCATTAAGAGAACGTACAGGAAATAAAACGCTGGCCTCCTTTTGGCTGAAGATGATGCAGAAAGTCTTGTAGAGTAAAAAAATCCTTGTTAAAATATTCTACAAGCTAGCTGAGTTATAGGATCTTCTCATAAAAGAAAATCAAAATTAAAGGATACAAAATATTATTATAGAAGTGTCAAATATATACTCAATTTCGGTCTTTTGGGGAATTAGTTGTGATTTGAAAAAAATGGTACATGGCTTATGGACGCTTCGTACTGCTAAGTGAACGTGGAATGGTGTAAATTATAACAGTCTATTCCCAGATTTCAAAATTGTTAATAATACTATTACGTATTAGCATAGACAAATAGAATAAATATAGACCGTCAGCTGTGCTGTGGTTAGCATAAGTTCTGGCGTCCACCACTAGGTTTGTCGTGTAGTTACGGCACACACCGCTGCAGCGTCTGCTGGTCACGTACGGCTCCTGCGCTCCTCGCCTGCAGCGGTGTGCGCCGTAACTACACGGCAAACCTAGTGGTGGGCGCCGAAACCTTCCTTTGACAGTCTATATTTATTCTATTTTGAAAAATTATAGAGCTTGCATTGTGTTGTTGGACAAATAGTGTCGCTGAAAAAGTCAATTTAAATACAGGACTTGTCTACTTGAAAAATCATAAGGTTATGGTAAAACAGAGGTTAAAAAGGGGTTTCTTTAATTTCACCCATAAATAAAGTTCTTAAGGATTGTTGAAAGAAATTAATAAAACTAATAAGAAACATATATTTAAAAGAAAATTCTTTAGTCAATGTTTACAAGTTAACAGCAAAAGTAAGTCGACAACAACAATCCAATAATGATTTTGATTCAAAATCCACTTTAAAACTTCAAATGAAAACAGTAATGAAAACAGAGTGGTTTATTTTGCTCATATTCACTCACATTTATCCTTTGGTATAAGTATTTATGGAGGAACATCACAAGCTAATTTAGACAGAATTTTAATTCTCCAGAAAAGAGCAATACGCATTATGTTAAATTTGGATTGGCAAGATTCTGTTAGGGAAAATTTTGAAGAACTAGGCATAATGACTGTAAATAGCTATTATATCTATCAATGTATATTATATACTGTCAAAAATTCAAATAATGTCTCACTGGTAGGGGATTCTCATCAATATTGTACCAGAAACAGAAATAACTATGCAACACCTTCACATAGATTAAGATTTTTTGAAAAAAAAAACCAATGTATATGGGTATAAAATGTTACAATGCTCTTCCAACAAAACTAAAGGACTACACAAGGACTACAAAATTTAAAAATAATCTAAAAATGTACTTTTTAACCAATCCCCTGTATTCAAAGAACAAATTTTTCCTCTTACATAATATATTAGAATAAGAACTTTTTCAATAGTGATTATATCTTTTGTACTTTTTTTGATCCAATGTAATGACGCCATTCGTGCACATGTTTGCAAAGTATGAATAAAGTTGATTTCATTTCATTTCATTTCATTTCAGTAAAAGATGTCTAGACCACTAACAACAACCCACCAACATGTGTCTTATCTTAATTGTCACAATTTTAATGTTACGAGTCCCTCGTAGTCCTCCGATTGTTGATCCCCGTAACAAACCCTACGCAGCTTCCACTTTACGTAATTGCCCTCTCATCTCTCCACTAATCCTCGCAAAATAATCCGCTTAGTCTGCATTTGACGACGTTCTTCTACTTAACCCACTTTGAATATTGCTAATTAGTCAAATTAAAAACAATGTACTCGTTCCATCTTAATATGAGAGAGAGATTAAGACTTGACGTCTATACAGCTCAAGTTCACTTTTTTTTTTTAAATTAGCTTATACCACATATTCTAAAACAACACTAGATACACTGTAAACGGAATCACAAGTTGCTGCTACACAATGTTTCTTGACACTATCACGAAAATTCCATAAAGTAATAGTATAAGTTATTTCATATTTCAAAGAATAACAGAACTCGGTAAAATAAAAACTATCATGTTTTTTTTTTTAATAGAAGTAAAAGAAAGGTGATATGGCAAACCTACATACCAACGTGAAAATTAGTTGTTTAAGTTCAAAGTTATGTTCAACTAGCAAATCCATATCTTTTCTGTTTACATTTGTATTGGTTAACAATAAAAACAACAGATTTTAATAATAATAGCTACAGTAATTCCCTGTAGGGAACTTAGCTAAAACTAATTTGTAAACAAACACTAGCCTTCGTAGTGGGCTAACTGAGAGCTTGATTTAGAGCAAAGGAAAATCAGCTGATCGTTTTTCTCTTACTCTAAATTAGAGCTTGGAAAACAATTACTTTCTTTAATAACAGATGTTATCGAAAATATCGACTTTCTGCAGCAACAAAAAATAGTTTTTTACTGCTCAAAAACAACAATAACCTATAAAAAGAAGTCCCTTATAAAAATATATCAATGAGTTGAATTGACTTATTCTAACAACTTGGATTCCCAATTAATCTGAATTAATAATGGTTGTCTGTACTATTCCTACGGGACATGCCTAGGTTAGAGCAAAGAACTTCTGTATTGGGGAGGCCTTGGTTCGAATCACGCCAATCCCAAACAACAATTCAGTAACAATACCTCAACCTGGTTAACATATAGCTTCAAGAGTCCTTGCAGACTAGCGACCATCTTGGATAGTTTCAAACAGCTGCCGAAGAGTTAATAATTATCCAAAAATATTTTTTCAAACATCAAAGTGTATAATGTAAATATCTAGGACACTGTAAGATTAGAATTTTTTTTAGTAGTTTTTTAAATTGTTATACGAGTTAGAACGTCTAGGCTCCAAGGACTCTTAAGCTGTAGGTCTACATATTGTGTAAAGAAATACCAAATTTCTTAAATAAGAATTATCTTTAATCTAGAAATCTTTAGAGATCTCCCTCCACACAAAACCAAACATTTAAATTGATATTTCTCCTAAGTATAACCTAAATTACTTGAGTTAACCAGTGACAGCACTTCCTTTGAAGGATGTCAAATAGATTTACATCCACCCTACATTACTGCTGGGCCTCTGCACAAAATAGTAATAACAAGCAATAATGACGAGTTGTTTGTCCAAGTCAGTGACCCAAGATTGTACCACCTGCGACTCATCATCTCACGCTGGGATTCGTTATTCTTAGTTTCTTACAAACAAAAACAGTAGCAAAAAATATTACTTACAGTTTTAGAAGTATTTAGTTTTTTGCAATATTTCATCAATTCTAATTTTATAAATTTAACTTGGTTAAACTAGCAATTTCAATCATTATTGCATTTGTTTTTAACCATACAAATTAACTTCTAGGACATTTACTGTTCAACTGCCAAAGGAATTCTCCCTTCAATTAAGTATTTGAAAAAAAAATAAAATGAATAACAAATATAACGTGAAGATGACAAAAGACATTGATTGAATTAACTCAATAAAACATGAATAATTAAAGCTTGAAATACAAAACTTCGTAAAAAATTATAATTTCAATAACATTTAGCCTGTAAACCCTCCTGAACACCCATATAATTTACCAAACATAATCAAGTGTTAAAAAAAAACTCCTAGAACCAAAGTCAGATTACTGAATTTGCCATATAAGCAGAGGTTTACTTCAGACTAAAAATAAAATGTGAAAAAATCTTAAAGAATAAGAGAACCATTTAACAACAGACATAGGAGTCAACGATCCAACCATGTACAAGTGATGAGGTAACAAATTCCAACTGAGGTGCAAACAACCAGCTTTCTATCACAATATTTCTGTTAAAGCTTTGTGAAAAAATAAAATGAGTGAGTTTACAATTTGCTTGGCTTTGTGTGAACGATGAATACTGAAACATGCTTTCAATGGTGTAGTTTGTGATTAGTGTTTAAATACAGAGAGCAGAAAAATAATACCAGGTTTGTCTTAAGTTTAGCTTAGTTTACTTTCTGAGTAAGTTAGACAATTGACTAAAGAAGACATCCCATCTACATTGACCAGCTGTTGTATATTTATACAGGGTGTCCCGTAAGTACCGTAAGTAAACAGCCAAACTCCAGGAAATTGTTCTATTGGTCAAAATAAAGAGAAAATCAAGAATAACATTTTTCCAAAACCAGATATCCGCCATTTTGTATTTTTTATATAAACATTTTTATTTTTGGATTTTTTCAAACCAATCTTTATAAAACTTAGTATGTAGGTTAAGGTAAAAAAGCCCCATATTAGAAAAAAATCCTCTCTTGATTCAATTTAAAATTTCAAAATGGTGGCAATTTTTAATTTTTAAACTTAAATTTTTATGAAAAATGCCAAGAACACTTTTATTTAGCATTTTTAATTTCCTATCAAACGATATCAAGTTCAAAAAAATCAAATAAGATATAGCTGAAATACTACGATTTTTAATTGTAAAATGGGGTAGAATGAGGCAGAAGCCGTCGTATCAGAGTCACTTTTTTACAAACTTGACATTTTGACAGAAATCTGTAATTTGCATGAGAGCAAATGTTGAACTGTTGGCTCTATTCAACTCCGTCTATTTGAACCATAAACTGACGACAACAGTAACAGGAGGGTGGAATGTCTAGTAACATCAATAGTCGAACAGTAGACACAATCAATACAGCAAAACTCTCAATTTTTACCGTCCTAAAAAACCTTTGGAAAAAACAAATTTTCGTAACATGTCTAATGAATGCTAATAGTGCACAAATACTTGGTGTTGCAGACCTGAAAATACATCTACTTCAATATTTATTCCGACAAGTTTACAAGTGACAACATCCAAGTGCAAGAGGAGGGATGATAGCTTACCGACTGTAGGGTTGACGGGGGTTAGAGAGGTGTAGGATCGGGCACCTGCCCCCTCTGCAGCATGCAACCAAGCAATCCGTTATATATCACTGTGGAGGCTATATACATAAACTGGTACTGTCTTTGTACTTTCACATTGATAACTTATGTACCAGTGCTTTGTCTGATAACATAAAATAATGTAATATTTCATCACAAGGGCGTAGTAATAACAACACCCAAGTTCTTAAAGTCGAGGTCTGAAAATGCCGAGGTTTGAAAAGGCACTTTTTACCCGTGTGATGATCTATATTTTTATCCTTTTGCACCACATTTGTGCCAACTATGTTATAAAACAAAAATACTTGACATGTAAAGATAACCTCTCAAAACGGCTTATTTTTAATTTTACTAATGCAAACAAGCAGCTCTTTAGGAAGTGTTTTAATCTTTTATTCGATTATGATTGTGTTATTATATATGTTAAACTATTGACAAGAATGCAACAATAAGCTATAACCAATTAAAACAATTGACACTATTTACATGCGATTATGTACCTAATATCAAAGTCAACAGCTGACTTTTACTCTCTAGGGCCTAAACACCTTTTTACTCCCTACGGAAAAAAAGAACTACTTTAGACCTACAACGCAAACAATGTATTAAAAACAGTTTTATTGCTGCCTTATGCCAAAAAATAAATTACCACTTGTTCTTTTAGAAAATATTTAATTTTCTATGTAAATAAAACTGATTGATTTCTACTGTATCAGACAATACCATGTTCAATGGCAGTGTGTGTTAGTATAAAAAACTGACCAGTATAGGACTTATCAACTAGTAGAAATATGGGAGTTTGCCCACGGATCAAGGTCTACAACTAGTTCTAGTCATGGCCAAGCAGTTTGAATCTGCCACCAGCACTGAGTATTTTACTTCCCCGATACTATTCTAGAGGGGCCGAACCCTTATGTATTAGTTTTGCCGTAGTAGCAGCAACGTTGTGAGGGAAAATTGATGCTCCCGCCAAGCATAAATTAAGATTTGTGATTCAATTTCTTTGGTAAAAAGGTGAACCCCTATTGAAATCTGTAACCAATTGGGGGATGTGTATGGATAAATACATAAGAGGCATAAACATGTATGGATGTAGAAAAACAAGAGGCTCAAGGAGCTTGAAGTAGGCTGTACAAATATGCATGCCGAGGCAAACTAGACATTTAGAAGCGTAAACAGTGTACAAATTCTTACAACCGTCTCCAGACTACTTTCACCCCTTAGTACACATTTTTTACAAAAGGTATCTCTTCATCCATAAACTAGAGATGGACTTTAATAGGGGTCGGCCTCTTAAAAAATATATATATCTAATCAGAAAACATGAGTCATACTTAGCAGGAGCATAGATTTTCCATCACATCAGTTTTGTCTACTACAACAAAACCAGTCGTTAAATAGGTGGGGATAGCCTAGAACAAGGAATGAATAAAGTAAAGAAAATAGGCTTAGGTCAGATTTGAGCTAGCTTGCTCGGCCACTGGGGCTCGATGGAAACCTTAAATCACAAACCCTCATATTACTAATTTCCACCATGAACATAGATGTCATGTTATTTCAATTAGTACACACGTTAAGTTTTTACGGTTAAAAACATGACTGTAAATTTATGACAATATTTACCGGCAACTGTGATATAGTGAGAGGAGTCCACAATTGTAGCAGCCGTGTCTGGTGTGGAGTCTCGACCTACAGGGTTGTTGGAACCATCGGAGGAATCTCCTGGACTGTGCAGCACACTCTCAACACTGCCGTTCTGTAATATATGCAGCATTTTAACTCCAGCCAGGAGACAGTCGGGCAGGATAAATATCATCTAATCTAACCATAGACCAAGCCTGAGTACTTATAGACTAGTTACTACTACAGCCTTAAGGCCGTTCCACACACAAGGATTACTCGTACGACAGTAAAGTCGTTGCCAAGAAATCCGTCTACATGGTACAGGTTCAGCACAAATTTTTAATGTAGTTTTATGATAACTTTCAGTGACAATATCACATCTCCTACTATGTGAATGTAATATCATGGAAGAAGTGTTACTGTGGTCAAATTTTGCAGTTTGCATTGCAAGAAAGCAAAGAAAACAGTCTGAGCGATGACAACGCTCACTATGGTCAAAAGGTTGGTAACTAAAAAGACAAACACTTTTTTCCTTACAACTAAAAATATTTTATATTATCTTTAAACAATTTAACTGTACGCCAAACTTAGTAACCATTCTACCCAGTAAGGTAATTTAAAGTGTTTTGATTCCAAGCTTCACTTTCCCTTCATCATCCCAAAAAACAAGGCCTCTTCCTGTCTTTAAAATTATTTTTAAATTGTTTAAATACAATAGCAGCCCAATCTTGACTAATCCAATAAAATATGTTGAGTGGTAAATACAAATTAAGCCCTAAAAGGCTCAATTGGCACTCACACAGTAATACCAATACCAAAATATGCCAAGAATTATGTCAGATCAATGGGCTGAAATTTATTATTGCATTGCATGTCTGTCTCATCCCTAAATGACTTGCATGCCATTAAGTCGTGCTGGTTACATGTAGAAAATCAATAGCACTTTGGATAAAATGGCTGAAAATGTATGGGGGATTATTTGCTGATCCTTGTTTGCAATTGGTTTGCTAGTTAAATACCTGCAATAGAATAAAATGAAAACGGTTAAAAAAATGATTTAACATTTTAGTACTGTATTGAGCCTTCAACCAAAAACCATCATTTAGTGACCCTAAAAATATCCTATCCAACTATTAATGTTTACATATTAATAAGAAAAACATAAATCCGATGATGGTTAAGATAATTTAACTTTTCACAGCTTAAATTTTGTTATAATTTAATGTTAAACTATGAGTATCATGGTCTACACTAAATTAGGCAATATACAAAACACACAATCGTAAATCGCAATATGTCACATCATGCTATAAAGCAATAATACTAGAGTAGCGTCCCAAAATGGCAAGATTGAGACTATCCCAATATGAAACACAGTGCTATGTAACAATGTAATTGGTGGTAGAGGAAATTGCCGAACAGCGGCGTTGCCACTTTTGTCTCGCCGCGGCCTCGTATGAGGAGGCTATGACACTATCTCAGTAAATGTTATTTTCACTGCATGTCGTAGCATTTAAAGAAGGTTGATAAGGTTGGGCTAAGACTAAACTCAAGAATACCAGTTTTTTATGCTGCAGCTTGGGAATCTGGGCGATTTCAAACTAGCTTTAGCTACAGTAGGGATCAACTTATGTCTAAGAGATTCCCTTGACAAAATCATTCTAGTTAGACACTTAAAGGCACTCGACAAGAAAATGTTTGAATGACTGTTAGGTCTAGTAAGTAACCAAACTGTCCAATGTTGTCTCCGGCCAGGATGCAGCATAAAATCTAATCCAACCAAGCCTAATCTTAGTTGATGATAGGGTCAAACACATGTTTTCCTCAATATCATATTAAATATTTAAGCATCAACTAATGACTGACAACCTGCAACAAATAGGATCTTGCTTGTGTTGTGTGTGGGTGCTTTTTCAGTTTTGTAGTTTTTATTTGGGGGGGGGGGGGGGACTAACTTCAAACTAATTTAACCAAATCTCTTTGGCCACTCATTAGGAAGACAAGTACAGTCACAAAGTAGTAATCTATGCTAGCGATACAGTAACAATACTAAAGAGCAAGACTATCTACTAACAATATAACAGGATTGAGATATGATAAGGAAGACTGTTTTACAAAAGCACACATTACTAGTAAGCGAGACTTTTTAGGATAATCACATTCTTGCGATCATGTCAAAAAGCTGCACACCATGTCAAGGCGATCATAATGCTTATGAATGTTATTTTGTCACAATCCTCGGGGATGAGACTTTAATTTCCCACTGTGATCTAGAAAATCTATTCCATTACAGGGCAGTCAAGTGAGTGAGAATTGTAGTGAGTTTGCTACAGCAAGAATTTATATCACAACACTATTAATATATTCTGTCACAAAGCAGAAAACCATGCAATAAGTTAGGTTGTTTCAATACTAGTGAGTAAGCATGTTTTACATTGTACTAAAAAGGTGATCTAGTCACAATGCAAGTGATTTAGATTTTCTACCAACCTTCTAGTGAACTAGACTGTCACAAAGCTGCAGACAATGCTAGTAAGAATTTCTAAAATCTCACAACATTCTAAAGATCTAAATATAGTATGTTGACAAAGCAGCACTTGCTAGAGTAGTACTGTTAAGTCGCTTCTTTTTGAGGTTATTGTTTGACTTGTGAGTGAAACAGTTGCTTAATGATACTGAGTGAGATTGTTGCAATAATTGTGAGAGGGCTGTAGCAATGCTAGTGAGTGAGACTGTCGCTAACCTAGTGATTGAGTCTATCACTATGCTTACAAGTAAAACTGTTGGTAAGCTAGAATTGCACTATACTGAGTGAGTTTTGTTCAAGGAAAGTCTCTGGGCCAGGATTTTGATTTGAAGAATGAAGAGATATCAGCTAGATTACCTTAGGAGAAATGCAGGTAGGCTATAAAACACACAGTATTTTTCCCCCTGAAAGTCAAAGTGTGTGTGTGTGTTTTAAGTGTGAAAAAGTCCCCCAGGAGACTAAAAGTTGTATGTTTTAATGTGTCTTCTATCCCCTACATGTACTTCTTCTAACATAAGCTAGCTTCTATTTCTACATTCTACAAATCACAATCCTGAGTGCTTGTGAGTGGGATTGTTATTATGTTTATAGAAATAGTATATGACATTACTAGCCCTGTAAGTGGTGTCTTACCGTGCGAGTACAGTAAACCTTACCGGGCGAGTAACGTACAATACTTTACATCATACTACACAGAAAAATTAGTACATTTGAAAGTCATAACACAATTTATTTAGGACAAAATATAAATTATAATATTTTTATATTTCAAACAAATTAGGCCGTTGCAATTAGCTGATCATTTAATCAGCTGACTAAGTGCACGGTAAAAGTACATTACGTTACTTTTCCGTGTATAGGCACGGCAAAGGGCAACTTTCCAGCCTATCAATACAGATGGAAAAGTACCTTATTTCCGTGAAGTATGATGTACATATCTATGTGATCTAGGTTTTTACTAAGCGTCACACAATACTAAATCAATTCCAGTAGTGTTAAATAAGACTGTAACGATGCAGCACACCATGCTAAACTGTTACAAAGCAGAATAAAATGTTGACAAAGCGAGAGTAGTTGTCACTTTGCAGCACACCATGCTAGCAAGCTAAGATCAGCTGATCAGCTGGCTACCTGAGACAAAGTCGGATGTGACGTTGGCACAGCTGTTATAGATATGGTATCTGGCGAGTGTTCTCTTGTCTGCACTGTCACCACAGTCGGAGTAACCTACAGGCCATGGTTCCGTTTAACTTAACTTCTACCATTGACTTTTGAATAGTGAATTAGACATCCCATCTACATGGACCAGCTGACAATCTTTTATTCAAAAAGAACATAGTTCTGTGAGCCAGTCATAGAATGTGTTGGTGTCAACAATTCAATTATTGAGATAGTTAATGGGGCATAACAGAGTCTATAGCTTACAATAAGGCAACCCATCAGTTTGACTTGGTTGAAAAGCCTGCATATTCGTCAGAAAACAGTAATTTACATCAGTACAATCTGTTGGAGGCTCATGTCAACTATATCCATTTAGATTTTAAAAGCAGAGAAAATTTAAACATGGGGATGGAATGTCTAGTTTCATCATAAGTCAAAGCTTTTATTAAAAAAAAATACCTCAGGCAAGTTAATAGATATTTTTACCAAATCATACCATTGTACCATTATAGATAGGGTCTAATGCTGTGTATTTTAACCCTAATACAAATTAAGAATGAGTAGCTTTTTGTAGATTTTTTATCGACTACTGAAATGAATATGAACCAATTAGGCGATTTATTGCAAAATCGTGATAGATATTATTACATAAAAAATGTCAACGCACACAATGCTGTATTTTATCCTGAATATGTGCTAATGAGTGTAAACATGATATGCTTTTTGTAGCTTTTAAACAGACTACCGGTGACTACACCAGGGTCATTTATTAAAAGCCCCAATCAGGAATGTCTGGGTCCAGTTTTGAATTGTTAAAAAAACTACTAGGACTTTTTTGGATCGTTTTGGTTATCTTCTGATTATTAGGCGAGAACTTTAACCATGAAGCTGCTTGGCTTAGTAAATACACAAGTTGAGTGTTATTTCATAAGCCTTATTACAAAACCTGAATGAAAAATTCCGGTACTTTCCTGTTAAAGGGAACATTCATTATTATCGATGATTTCTGTTCGATATCTCGATATTTTTGTTTTACTTCACGATTGGTATTCCTTCTGTTTTAATATCTTCAAACACATTTAAATTACAAATTAGGAACTAACCTTGTTTAGGCAAAAATAATAGCCTATATATTGGATTAGGATATGACACTATTCTAAACTAACCTAACATAACTAACCAAACTTGCTGTATAGGCTAAGTTACCGTTTCAAAATTCCATTTGATAACAGAAAAGTCATATGGGGAATAGGCTATCAAACGGAATTTTGAAATGTTACAGCAAGTTTGGTTGGTTAGGTTAGTTTAGAACAGTTTCATTTCAATATAATTTTTTTCTTATTGTTTGTTGATACTGAACAATATTTATCTACTGTATCCTATATCGTACTTATCAGCTGATATGTTTCAATTTGTTACTATCAATATATCGGATGGAAAACAAAAATATCGATATATCGAACAGAAATCATCGATAATAATGAATGTTCCCTTTAACAGGAAAGTACCAAAATTCCAAAGAGTAATTTTGAATAAAGAAAGACTGGAGTGCATTATAAGTGTTATGATGAAAATGTCTTCTCATGCTTATGATATGTGTAAGAGTGTTTAATTTCAAAATACTTGAATATATTCTTTCACTTAAATAGTTTACAATCCATTCAATAGAAAATAAATTATAACACATAATACATGAACTAAGAATTCTAAAAAAGTATAGAAAGCCTAAGGAACCTAAAAACCTTGGTGTATTTTAAAAGATAGAATGTCATTACCATTTGAATAGTTATCAGACCAAGCATTATAACTGCAGCAATATCAATGTGTATTTGGCTTGCTCAGATTTTTTAAACATTCCTAATAAAAGATTTTAGGTCTATAAGCGTACAATAACATTTCTTTAGAGTAGTAATGAGTAAAATGTCAATTAGCAAGAATGAAAAAAGATTAAACTAAAAAATTGAAGTGATCTTAAATGTTTTTAATTCTAAATTATTGTTATGTTTATTTATTAAAAATATTATTAATTACAATTTTAATTATTTATGAGCAGAATAATAGTTGTTATTTTAACTACTGACCTATTGTGAAAATAAATAACAAATTCATTTTTAATCAGAAATAATTACAAAGTAGATTAAGAAGAATATATTTTATACTAATATTATTACCTAGAAATGTCATTAAAATATTTAATGTGCTTTAACAGCTTAATACACAGTAAAAACCTATACTCCAACATTATTGGCATTTTGTTAATTTCATAGCTATAGAATATTGTGCAGGAATAATTATTTTAAGAATTTATTATGATTAAATTTTGTAATATATTTATCAGACCTATAGTTAACCTATAGTTCAGTGGGTGAGTGGGTCTCTACAGGATTATGTTTAAATTATTAAAGCGTTCAATAACTAGTTTATAAAATGCTTGAAAATTTTAACTAATCAGTTTTAATTAGTAGCAGTTTTTATGCTCAATTTGTGGTATTACCATAATTGCCATGATATTTACTCATTAAATTTGTTCAATTTAATACAAAATAATTATTTTCTGTAAAAAAAAATAGTTTAATTTATTCCTGTGGCAAATCATTTATCAGTTATTCCCATATACTACATAACATTGATTAATGAACAAGAGAGTTTCAGTATGTTTTGAAAAAGTATTGGTTACCGTATGTATTTTCTTTGTTCTGACAACAATGAATGAACCTTTATAACTTGAAATAAATACTGAATTTCCTTCCTGAGATTCCTTTTTGTTTTGGCATATTTCCTCAACTTAAGTTTTATAAATGAACTACACATAAATTCATGTAGATGAAAAAATGTCTGGTATGAAAATATTGTCTCTCAATCAAATATATTTTGTTTTTAGAAATTGAATTGCAAAATCTGTACCGGTACCATAGTATGTATACTAACTTTTCCACAAATTAAAAAAAATGATCAATTTCTTAAAAAACTACAAAACAGTTAAAATGTAAGTAAAAACCATGTATTAATAAAAAAACTTACAAGCTTTTACACTTTGGCAAAGTATTGGTTACCTATTTTACTTATTGTCACTTTAATGCCCTTTATGGGTTGAAATTCATACTGAATTAGAAAATTCCCTCCTATATAGTAAAATTGGTCTCTGCTCAAATAAAACTTATTTTAAATAAACAACATACATGTAAGTTATTGAAAATGTATAGTATAAAAATATGAGATTTTTCATTCAAAATTATTTGGTTAGGTTTTAATAGCAAAAACGTGATCTTAATGTAGACTTGTATTATCATTTTTTAATAAACTCAAAATTAAATACATCAGGTATAAAACATTTGTCTTCTTTAATTAAAAAATGTTGATGTTTTATGAAATTTAACCGTCACAATTTTCACTTTAATAACAAGTTTTAAATATACTTCAAATTAAATATGTGATGTATGAAAAAATTGTGATGTGATAAGTTTATGCAATTTAATTACAAAACTACACCTTGGTTTTAGACTATTTACTGGCATATTTTAAAATAAACTGCAAATTAAACATTTAAACACTTTTTAAACAACTACAAAAACGAGACTTAATTTTTTACTATATACAATCATGTTTTTAAACAACCTAATTAAATATTTTTAAAGTATAAAAATATTGTACCCCTCTCATTTAAACTTTATCCTAGTTTTTTTCATAAAATATTTTAAAATACACATAACAAACCCAATTCAACACCGGCAACAACTCACAACAAAAACTACTTCCACAAATTTTACCTAGATTTTTCACGGAACAAACTACGACGCCACTGATACAACTAAACAATAAACACAAACACAATTCACCTGTAGAATCTGGTTGGTAGCGACTACTGTGATGGTGGCACCACTGGCCGCTGTGGCAGCACCGTTGTTGGCTCCCAACGCCGTCGCCATGGCTACAGCTTGCCCCCCGTTGCCTCCTGGACCAATCACAACAACTCAATGCAACTGGTCAAGGGGAAAAAGTGGGGGGATCAAAATTGAGAGGGCACTTTAAAGTGGCACTAGTCGCAGCCTCGTGAACTTTTGATACAAATTAGCGAAACTGGACTCAACTAGTCGGCTATCACGCCTTGTATACATATTATAGATGAATAATAAAATAGTTGGATCACGACTATTGCAAATAGTTGAATCAATTGATATAGGAATATTTATATATATATATATATATCTTGTAAATGTTTACAGATGAGTGTGTATATATATATATATATATATATATATTTAAAAGAGTTGGAAGACATATTTTATTATAATTGTATGATAGCTCCAACGTGTTTAATGCTAATCAAGAAGTATCTTAAAACTTTAACTAGGCTATATTAAAACTAAATAAATTTAAAAATATTAAGTTAGGTAGTACATTGAAACGTAACCAAACATAGAACATAAATCAAAAAAGCATCAGATTTTTTTATAGGATGAGAAGACGCCTAGTAGGGTTTAAAGCCAATGGTGGGCATTGAAAAAACTTATGAAAAATTCAAAGAAAACATTATTAAAGCATAGGCAGTATATTTTTGACACAACTACTGTTCACTTTTCTTCACCAACGATGGAAGTAATGAAAACAGTAACAAGTTAATAAGAAAACTGTTTGGTACAGACAGTTTTAAATGTTAGAAGAAACAATTTCCACCTCCCTGACAATAAATTTTTGTTACCATTTAGTTTATATTCTAGTGTAGACAGTTATCAATCCAATATATGTACATTTACTTTCTTTAAGGATAGAAAAATTGTGTATTGCCATTCAGTGTAAAAAAAACTGTACCTATCTTTTGAGTAAAGAAAATTTGATTTAATTTTGTTTTTATTATGTCTTATCGTTATCTTAAATACAAAGAATGCCTTTAATGACTTGCATTGACTCTTTCTATTGACCTATTGACTCAATACTAATGTTAACTCGTAATCATAAAGTCTATTTACTTGTTCTTATCTAAATTTATTATACAGGCAAAAATATGTGCATCAATGACCTTGATATATTTTTTATGTCTCAACCATGTCGTTCAAAACCTCCTTTGATCTATAGATCTACCAATCAAATATCTAGAATTAAGATGCGTCTCTAAGGTGAGAAGAATTTAAAATTTCCCGATGAAAAGAAATCAGTAATCTAATAACTGTTCCACACCACTAACAAGTAACCACTAATAAGGCCTAAGAATTTGGTCCAATATGATAAGTTACAAGTTACAAATTCAACATGATGATCAAGTTGCGGTACCGGTATTGTGTGAGTCGGGTATGCTTCACAGGTTCTCATAATTATATCAAAGTTACTGATGAGCACATGGAATCTGAAGTATGAGCCGGGATCAAACGTTATTAATATTCTCACACTATTAGGTTCGCTTGCACCAGTGAAACTTAGTGTTTCAAACTGTTTGTAAATGAAACATAGCTTTAGTTTGGAGAGTTTGTGAAAATGGTAGTTTTCACAGCATGTTTAGTGGATGCTCAATGGTTTAGTATAAATTGACTGAACAAACTTGCAAACAAATTTATCTGCAAAATCTGTTTTCCATACACGCAGATATAAAAAAACAGCCAGCTAGAGTTAAAGAGTTTAGCTATACATTTATTCTAACTTGCAAAATTCCTTCGATGAGTTTACCCATTACTCCCCTTATTATCCAAACATGTACATTCTGCATAAAGCCCAAAGATTATTACTATTTACACTTGTTTATAATAGTAGATAGCTATACTATTTCGGTTTGGGAATTATTTAGCTAAATAATGAATGAATTAGTTACTGTATAGTTGGAAATATAACCAAAAAAATGGTTAACACACACAGATGAATCTTTTAATGAAAAATGCCATTTTAAAGCTACAGTAGACTCCCTCTTATCCGGACACCTTTTAACCGGACATCGGTTTAACCGGACTACATTCGGCGGAAATGACATCTCTTTAACCGGAAAATTTTTATCAGCACATTGGTTTAACCAGCTTCCGACGTCGGTTTAACCGGAAAAGCAATTATCCGGACTGGCCTCGGTCCCGAGGAGTCCGGATAAGAGGGAGTCTACAGTATTAAGTGGTACCCAAAAACTATGATTATTTTTCAATATTTGTGGTTTGATTACTTTTTACAACGAATATGATTAAAAATAATTTTCTTCTGGCAGAAAATTCCAGAAAAAGTTGCCGTTTTACACAGAAGTAAATATTTAATCTATTTAGAAGGATAACTACTGGTAATACACTTCACCGCTTAGTTCCATATTAAATTTATTATGTGTTCTTACATCAATGATACGACAACTAATTACACTTATATAAATTTAATAAATTTAATAAGTGATTTAATAAATTTAACTAATTTAATAAATTTAATACCAAACTAAAAATCTCAAATGATTCAAGTTGTACAACCGTCAAACAAATTTTACAAAAATTGCTTCACATTCTTCACAAAGCGTCATAGAATTTTGAACCAAACAAAAGACAATCCCTGCAAAGAATTCAATGCTTCTGAAGGCCAGAGATGGAAGTGAAAGAGACAGAGATTGCCGATGGAGACTGAGAGACAAAGAGACAAGCGAAAGGGAAGACACCTGACGATTCCCACAGCTTTCCTTCCAACTTACCCCTGCTGTCGTGGTTGCGATATGAATACTTTTGTACAAGTTGATGTCAACAAAATGTCCTTCCAATCAAACAAGCAATCTCCAACTATCTCAAGCAAACACAAGTTTCTATCAAACCGTTGGGTTTAAAATAAATGTTTCCTAGTTTTCCCTCGATGATTTTCTTGTAATCTTTTTGTTGGTTTCTCTCAGCCATAATTATTCAAATGAATTTCCAGCTTTTTCAATTTTCATCGTAATAGTTTGTTTAGGTAAATTTAAAATTATTCTAAACGTTGATTTCCAATACGGTATGCAGTTTCTGTGAAATTCAATTAATCTTGCTGCATACAACTCTTAAAGATTCACTAACTGCATCAGTGACTATCTGGGTAACTCAAATTCTCAGGATTTTAAATTCAAACATCGATATTTAATTGAACATGAAGTTAATTTTAAAGATACTCTCTGAAACCAGGTTGATTTAGAAAACAAGATGAGGGTTTGGATGACTCATTTACCAATATAAATGCAAGGATGTCTCAGAGATAAAATTAAACTTGAATTTGTTATACCTACTTTGATATTGTTTATTAGTTAATAAATTAATTCAACTTCAAATAATTTCACTCTGAAAACCTATTTAAGACCTGAATTCAATTGCTAATAGGTAATGTCAAACTTTATTAACTACCTATAAAGTATCATTGATTTTGGATTCTGGATTTAGACATACCGACTACCTGTAGCCATTTTTTTATTGATCAATTTTACTCAAGGAGAACAAAGTTAAGTGAGCCTATAGTTTATGACACTTGATTTGAATTTCTTTGGATTTTATTTTACGAATATTTGATAGGAACCGGAACCCAAAAGATTATTCAGTTTTTTTTTTTAAATAGCCCTTAAGAATATGAAGATGAGTGTAGAAGATCGAGATTCCTTTTTCAGCAATTTAGATGAGTAAGACAAGATTTTTTTCAAAGCCAGCAGCATTTATCCCAAAAGCTCTAAAAGTTGCCCAATGATCAAGGACAGCTTGATCCAGTTACGAACCATCAAAAAACTAACTACTTTTCATTTCTTGTTGTGGTGTTTCCGGACCAAAAATTGATAGTTAAATAAAAGGTTTTAAAAACTTAAACCATTAAGACCATTTAGTAACTAGTAACCACAGTTATACACGTGTAACAGAAAACTTGAAACCTCTACGTATTTGTAAAAAAGGAAGAATATAATGACAGCATTGGAACAATTTAAAATTTACAGAGCTAGCAAAATTGATACAAACAACCTGCTAAATGACAAAAACACCCTGTAGTCCAATATTCTCTTTGAAACCATAGTGAAATTAGACAATAGCCCAAACAATGCTGCACTAGCCACATCATCAGGACAAAGGTCAGATCACAACCAAGTCTCATCCTCAGTCAAGTCTCGACACACATTCGGCGCGCTTCCATGTTGCGCTACACATGCACGCATCACTAAAGACAAACCATGTTAAATCTAAATAATTGACTATTGTTTTTTATGTTTTTGTGTCTCGTTTTAAACTTTCAACGCACTTCTTCAGGCAAGATTAATAAATACTATGGATCTGACGATCGTGTTCGCACCGAAATGCGCATAATCCAGTAACTTGGACCACAAGGAAACAACCAGGTATTTTAGAACTTTTCTCACGAATAAACCAGCGACCATCTGACGGCTAGTAGAGAGCTATAACCCACCCATTTATTTTGCTACATCGAATCTATACTCAAAGCCCATATGCAATTCTTCCACCTCCACATATTGATTGACAGATGATGAGTCACTCAAGGCCAGGGGATGTGAAGGGGACTAATCTGCTATTGTAAACCCTCCGCCAGGTAGTCCCACCACCCTACCTGTGTCTATGACTCACCCTGCAGGTGCAGCTCTCCCCTATCTGCAATCACTGTATCAGGGGTTCTGCCAAATCAAGAGGAAATGCTTTGTAACTTGCAGATTTAGTTATTAAAAATTTCAAGACTATGTAAAATAAGCTTGGACAAAATTTATCTTCGGAGAGCGAATGGAGTCTTGCAGTAAAATACAGAAAAGATATCCACTATTAACAGCTTTAACATAAATCATTGTAGGATCAATTTATGTTAACGTCTATCGGTTAAGGCTCTATCGCCACACAATAATCTAAATACTTAATACGAGGGTTTTCTCTGTTACATCCCATTTCCAACCATCCTACTTCCGATTTTTACGATCAAGGTGTCAACCAAAATGACCTAGTAGAGAGAAGAATGGTCACTAAAAATGCAATTTCCTTTAAGACTTCGCCCCTCTTGCAT